ACTCGTGCTCTCTTTCAACTGGCTAGTCGTGTTTGCCCGAAGCAGCGGCGTAAAACTCTGCAACTGCGTGGTGCCCAGGGGCAAATTCTCTCGCATCCAGAGCAAGTTGAGGTGCTCCGATCCTTTTATACTGATCTCTACACTTCGGGGCATCAAGATTCACCGACTCTGCCTGATCCTTTACGCTCTGACTGCTGTGATGGTCTTTTTGCGTGTCTGAATCCGGAGTTGGTGACTCCTGCCTTACGGCGTCTATCGCCGCATAAGGCTGCGCCAGCACATCTTGCCCATACTTCGATCTGGGTAGCTTGCTCGGCCCTGTTGGGACCCTGGTTGGCAAATACCCTACAAAAGGCGACTAGTATCCCTCAACTTTGGAAGGACACATGGCTGTCTCTCCTGCCCAAGGTCTCTGCGCCCACTCTGCCTCGTCAGCTGCGCCCTCTTGGCATCTCTGAGATATCGGGACGTGTTGTCTGTGGCTTAATCCAGCATCAGCTCAGGCCACATGTGATGGCTTTTCTCAGCCAACATCCTCAGTATGCTTATCTCATGGATCGGGCTACGGACCAGGCGCTGCTACGCGTGCTCCTTCATTGTAAGGAGGGGCGAGGAATGTGTGAGGCTGCACCATACAATATACAACATGCCAGGTGGGCTACTGACCCCGCAGCGGCTAGCTCTGAGCAGGATCGTCGCCCCAGCAAGCTCAGGGGAGGTGCCATTCAATTGTCGCTTGATCTCTCGCAGGCGTTTGATCGCTTGGAGTGGCCGCTCATAAGTGATTCGTTGCAGGAGGCAGGCGTACCCAGTGACCTTTACCATCTCATCATCAGTTGGCATCGTGAGATGTATTATCACATTAAGGTCTCTGCATCCTCTGCACGCGTGTCAGTTGGCCGGGGAGTGCGGCAAGGATGCCGCATCGCTCCGATGTTGTGGGCGCTAGCCACGGCTGTACTCATGCGCCGCACTGACGAGGTACTGGGTTTCTTGTGGTCTAAGGACTCCTTGACGGCTTATGCCGACGATTTTCACACAGGTGAGTGTGTTTCCCGCAGTGAGCATCTTAATAGATCCCTGCATCGTTTTGGAGTCTTCCTGGATCAGCTTATGAATGCACACTTACAGGTGAATTCCAAGAAGTCCGCCGTTCTGTTGCGACTCACCAAGGGCTTTGCACCGGCCTGGAGGAAGTGTCATGTGCGTAAAGGGGAGGAAGGACCCTACCTTCATTTTGCCACACCTGCTGGCAGGACGTTTGATATACCGATCAAGCAGGAGCATGTCTATCTTGGTTTGGTCATTTCGTACCATCATCCGCATACGGCCTCAGTGGCGCATCGGGTACACGCTGCGTGGGCCACCTGGTCCCGACTTCGACCTGCTCTCACATCGGCGTCGGCACCAGCCTTAGGCCTTCGTATCAGATTGTGGAGGGCGTGCCTCCCCCCCACTCTCCTTTATGGGGTACACACTCTGGCTCTTGGCTCGCATCAGATTTTCAACCTGCACGCTGTCTATACTCGACATCTTCGTGCTGTGGCGAGGTCGCAGACTCATTTGACTCATGAAAGCACTGCTTGTCTCTATGCCAGACTTGGTGTTTCCTCTGTGCATGAGCTTCTGACGAGTGCTCTGATGGGTCTTCGTGATAGGGTTTCACGTGCGGTTCTGGAGGGTCTTGAACGNNCCTGCGGTACTTTCGGAATGCGAGAGGCTTCTTACTTCGCTCGCTTGTCTCCCTGATCCTGCCTTGGCCCCTGATGGTCAAGGGGCTGAAGACGAAGGTCATGGTGTAGGTTCTCTGCCTGATGCATTTCCTGCTGATGTCCTGTCTGGTGGGGGAGGCCTTGCATTGCCGCTTGCTCAGGACTTTCGTTGTCCTACATGTTCCATCTCCTTCCCCGATCTTAGGCAACTTCGTGTTCATCAGGCTTCGCATCACAAGCTGATTGTGTCACAGAGGGCACTGGGTGTCCCGTTTGATAAACAACTTCACTCGTGCGCTGGCATGCCCACATGTGCTCTCTGTGGTCGCTGTTTTACCAGGTGGAATACCCTGAAAGATCATATTAGCCGTGGTCGGTGTCCAGCCTTGGACCCCACTCTTCGTACTCAGCTTGGTCCCTGGCCCACTCCTACCGCTCCTGCCCCTTGTCAGAGTTCTTGGGATGGATGTCCGGCTCAGGCTCTCCCAACCATATCGGTCGATCTTGATGAGGAATTGGCTGCTCGAGCATGTCCCACTGTGGCTGCCTCTGTTCCGGCCAGGGATACTGGGCTGTTTCTCTCGGCTCATCCTTGTGTGGAGGTCCTCAACCGCTCCTTGCATCTGCCGGGCTCTGGTACCAGTTGTCAGTCGGCTGATCTTTTATGGCAAAAGAGGGTGGGCCAATCTGAAGTTACTCCTGTAGCAGATCGAGCTGACATCCAGGCATTGGTACGGCGTTACGGGTGGCAAACGCTGCTCAAAGATCAAGCGCTCCGTGACGAGCTGAGACACCACTGCCCGTGTTGCGGACAATGGTGCGCCTCGCCTGCTGGTGTCAAGGTTCACATGTCTAGGTCGCATAGTGTCTGGGCCGAACTCCTGCCGGCAGTGCTCGAGCGTACGGTGCTTATGAAGCGAATGATCACTAAGCCGTGTCCTTATTGCTTGGAACAGACATTTGACCTACAGACACATTGGAAAAGATGTCATGTCATCACGGTGTGCTGCTTCCTGGAACTTTATGCTAAGCGCCATGTCGCCCACTCCGACTCCCAGTCTGCAGGGCACTCTCAGTCAGGATGCCAAGGAACAGGAGAAACAAATGTTTCAGCATCTCCTGTCTGTCTGTCATCCTCCAGGGGAGTCAGCCGACAAGTCGTTGGCAACGGTGGCGGCCAAGAGGGCTCGACGGGAGACGGGCTCTCAGGAGACGCAGGATGTACAGATGACCACCGAACAGAAGGATCCTTTTCGGCAGTGGGGCTCTGCTCAGATGGGTCGCGGCCAGGGGGGAAAGTCCCACAAGGGCAAGGGGAAGACGTCAGGCAAGGGCAAGACTTCGCACAAGGGCAAGGGCAAGGGTCAGGCACGCAGCTCAGCCTCAGTGACATCCTATGCAGGCAACGATTGGGAACGCACGGCAGAGTACTACAGTCTGGATGGGGAGAATACACTATTGCAGCAGATGGCCAAGCTAGCTCTGCGTCACGAGAGACAGCTTCAGGCGCTGCAGCAGGACACCAAGCTTTATTTCTTCTTCCGTCCGGATCCTCCTGCATCGGTTGTGCCACTTATGACCAACATTGCCAAGACTTGGAGAGAGCTTGTGGAGGCCAACAAGGTCCAGTCCTCCCTTCGGGAAACCATGTTGCGCGAGCTGATTCAGGAGATGAGGCGCCGCATTCAGGGCTTTTCACAGCAGACCGAGATGCGGGAGCAAGCGGCCAAGATGAATTGGATCGACTCTCAGGGCTCATGGAACTATCTACAGTGGAATCCGGAATCTCAGACAGAGGAGTTGGTCCCGAGAGTGGAGAGTCGCTCCACAGAGTCGCTTCTTCAGGACTTGGACGAAATCGAGAAGCTGATCAGCGGCACGACCATTCGACACTTCGGCTCAATGCGTCCGTTCCGTCAACAGTACGAGACCAGTTGGGTGCAGTTTGTGCTAGAGATCGAGCTCCGCACGGATGGGGACAGGCTCTGGAAGCACTTCAATGCTCTCATCAATTGTGCAGTCCTGCATCTCCTTGCAGCCAGACTGCGCCGGGACCGTCCAGTCCTCTCGGGTCTGGCCAAATCCCTGCAGGAACACCTTTGGTACGGTCTGATCCTCAGATGGTTTCCTCACCTGAACCGTCCTTCCTCCTTTTGGGCCTTGATCTTCGCCGGATTCGCCTTCTCAATCCCACGTCCACCACATGCTACATGAATAGTGCATTGCTTGCGTTATTACATGTTGTACAATCACGGCATCCGATACATGAGGATGAACTTGGCCGCCTGCGGGTGGTTGTTGGGGCTTTGCGACAACAGGCTGGGACGCTTGATATCAGCAAATACATGCCGTGGATGCTCCTGATCAGTCCTTGGGTTCGACCCTTTCAGCAGCATGATGTGGTGGAATTTGTTCAGCACATCGTTTCAGGCCTGAAGATTCCTTTATTCACGGGGCGCTGGTATGCTCGCTTTTCTGAGGCTGGTGTTGTCAGTCTCCGAGACTCTGGTCCTTTGACCTGTCCCATTCCTGTGCCGCTGCAGGATGCTGCCATGTTGCAGCATTGCATTGATCGGTGGCATTCCCAGCAATCCTTTGCCTTGCATGCTCTTGATGCTGCTGCCGAGATTGTCATGCTGCACTTCATGAGGTACAATGCAGTGGGGCGGGGAAAACACAGACGGATCGTGAAATCCTCAGCCGCCATTACAGGTATGCTGGATACAGTGTGGTTACCATGCTTTGCTGGCGCATCTACTATTCAGTGTCTGCATCGCCCATTCCAGGTGGCATCAGTCATTGTCCACTATGGGGACACGCCGAATACTGGACACTACCGCTGTCTCTGGCGCAAAAGGGACACGTACTGGTTGACAGATGACGGTATTGATGCTGTGGAGTGCACTGCGTGTGATGCTGAAGCCTTGGTGCAAAAATCATACCTTGCTTGGCTTGTGCGGACGGCCTAGGTCGCTGCAGTACGACAATGATGCGAAATGACATGAGTTTCTCTCTTGCGCTGACGGCCAAAATGGCCTGGTGCTTTCTGTAGTTTAGCATCCTCGAGATGCCGGAGCTTGCTCTGCTACTGTTTCTCGCTAGGCGAACGATGACTCCTCGCTGCGTCCGGAAGAATGTATGTATGTATGTATGTATGTATGTATGTACACACACACACGCACACCTGCATGCATGCATGCAGGTGTGCACGTATGTACGTATGTACACAGGCATGTACGCATGGATGGATGGATGGATCCAGGGACATGTAGATGCTCCAAATGCAAGGTGCATCGTCCGCCGCGGCCGGAAAGGTTGCCGAACGGCGCGGCGCGACGGTGCCACAAGCGCTTCAGGCAGGAGGGCTTCCTCCATGCTGTGGTTTGAGACTTTGGGATGGCGATATATATATATATATGTATATATATATATATATAACCCATATATATATATATGCACACAGTGTGTATGTATGTATGTATGTGTATATGTATATATATACATATATATATATATATATGTATACCCATGTACGTATGTGTGCACGCATGCATGCACACATATATGTGCACATACGTAGAATGCACGCATTTCAATGTAAGCAGATCCTGGCACTAAGTGTCCCCCACCACCAGAGTCCCAAACCCGGAGTTCCCATCAACAGGCTGCCGCCATCAGCGAAGATGGCACAATGCTGGCCGGTGCTGGCTGGTCGTCGCAGGCTGATTGGGGCCGAGGTGTCGTCCATATATGTATACTGTAAATGCTTTGCCCTCATCCCAGACATTGTGGTGTTTGGGGGTGTGCGAGATAGCTTCACAGAGGTATACGTGTGGAACGCCGACGATGAGCTCTTCGCCCCGCCTTCGAAAGAGGGGCCAAAGAGGCCTGCTGCTGCCTAGGGGCCGACAAAGCCAAGCGTATAGTTTCCTGAGTTGCCGCGGTTTTTGTTCCTTTGTCCGCTGCTACTTATCGCGATGATGAGGTCTGGGAGTTCTCTTGTGTTCATGCTACTATCCTGAACCCTAAACCCTAAACCCTAAACCCTAAATCCGAACCATCACCCGAGGAGGTCTTGAGGTCCAGAGTTTTTGTGAAGTTTCTTTCGTTGCTAGCGGCCCACCTGGGGACTGCGGAGGGGTCCATGATGCTGAACTCCAGGCTTCTGAGCACAACTTGGGGATTGCACGTGTCCAATCGACTGCGACACTGCGACACTATAGAAAACAACAGAAAGACACAGCAATACACAGAAGCCTGTCTACACGCATTCCGAAAGGTTTACATGAATCCCATCAACAGCCTTGACGAATCCAAGCTCTGATCGCTGAATCTAGAGAGCGGAAGAAATCATATTCATATCCCCTTGTCATTGGTATGTGAATTACACCACAACTGAAACCCGAAATCCTGTTCTAATTAGAAGTTGTTGAGGCCCCCACAATACCTTTAAGCGGTCTTGCTTCAAGCGCCGTGTACCCGCCGTTGCTAGGAAAGCCGCAGCTCAACCAGAGGCGGCCTGCTCTTTGAAGGGTCTACTTGGAGGTTCATGGGTAGTTATGAGTGGGGTTATAAGTAGGGTAACCTTAATTATAGCCCTAATTAGGGGACTTATAACCCTACTTATAACTACCCATGATCCTCCAAGTATTCGGGGCCTTGTGGCGCTGTGCGGCTTAGAAGCCTCAATTCTTGAGATTTGGCAGTACTCTTCGAGAGTTCTTTGGGCTTAGCATTGCGATTCGCATCACGAGGAACGTGGGGAATTGGCTGATGATGGCGATGTGGTATGTCATGCATGGGCCTGGTTCTAAGTGTTTTCTGACATACGTACTGCAAAGAGGTGGTGTCTAGGTCCGATGTAGGGGGGGGTTTAGGGTTTAGGAGACGCATCCGAATCTGCCAACACCTCGTTGTTTGTGCCAAAGCCTGGAACAGCTGGATATGCAAACCCAAACCCAGAAACCGAAAACCCCAACAAGAACGAGCAGAAGATGCTTAACCTACTACTACTGCTGCTACTACT